ACCTCCATTCTAAATTTCGTGAAGATCGGGCCATAATTGCGACCTGTAGAGTGATTACAAATTAACATGGACAGACGGACAGACGGACAGACGGACAGACGGACGGACGGACATACATAGCTAGATCGACTCAGCTCGGCGAGCTAGGAAGATCCATATATACTTTCCTATGTGGGAAACCAATGTTTCGAGGTGTTACATAATTTTTGGGCCAATCAAACTTATAATACCCCCAACACATAGTGTTGTAGGGTATAAAAATAATAACCCATGAGCCGAGGGTTTTATAAGTTTGATTTGGCAAAGAAGTTTGTAGCTCTTCTATATATGGGTCTACAAAAAAAATTTCAAAGTGCTAATAAAAATACTAATAAAAATATAGGGAGATACCGTTATATTGGGGCAATTTTTGTCATAGCCCATTACGATATTCAAATACGAAACTTGAAACAATTGTGGTGATTAATGTCGCTAAAATCATCTAAATACCGAATTATGAGGGCTATACGAGGACCCATTAGAGACTTCAAATACGAAATCTGAAACAATTCCGAAGAATTATGTAGCTAAAATCATCAAAATACAGAATATCGGGAACTATCGTTATAAGGGGGCTATACGACGGCGTGGACCTGCATAGGCAATTTTTCTCACGGACGGTAGTACCCATAACAATCTTCATATACGAAATTTGAAACAATTCCGATGAATAATGTCGTTAAATTTTCCAAATACCGAATATAGGGGGTACCGCTATATGGGGGCTATACGAGGACGTGGACCTGTATGAGCAATTTTCTGTCGAAGAATGTAGTACCCATTCGGAACTTCAAATTCCAAATTTGAAACATTTCCGTTTAAAAGTATCAAACTAATTATCAAACTACCGAATATCTGGATGTGCAGTTATATCAAAACATAGACCTACACTGCAGAAAGACTTTGATAGATTTGTAATATTTGCTGATTGATGGCTTTTTAACTTTTGATATGATGACTTTGGTGAAAAGTGAGCTTTTTACCGTTCCCTTCGCCGGGATAAAATCATGATATTGGAAGCGATCAACAAATATTGTAAAGGTTTAATATTTTTGCATATTACAGTCATTTTAATAAAAAATTGATTTTTTCAATTCCTCTCAATTCGGAATGGTCTCTGGCCAGAAAAGGATAAAATCTAAGAAAATCGCGAAAAAATATACCAATAAAAAAGTGAATATCTTTTGTTCCATTTTTTTCAATTTATGTCATATTTTTTATTACATACTATTTTTTCAATTTGACTTACAATTTTAAATAGAAAATTTTCTAAATTTTGACTCCCCTCAACACTATGCTTTGAGGGTATTATATGCCTGTCGCAATTATCGTCCGATCCCCACGAAATTACATGGGGTAGCATTGGGGTCAGAATTAAAGCCTTTTTTTCACGACTTTTGGATTAGGATACTTCGAAGATATTTTAGTGTTGTAGGGTATCACATGGTCGGCCCGCACGACTATAGCCTCTTGTGTCGACATGGTCGACCGAACTTGAAATAAGTTTGATAATAGCATTATGATGAACTAAGTTTGGAAAAAAATTAGATACTCGTGCGCGTCTTCCAGACAGATAATCAGACGCATGGACGGACACCTCCAGATCGACTACAAATGCCTTGAATCGTAGTTGAAAGAGACCCATCAAATAATATATACTTGCTGTAGCCATATGGTGGTGAAAAATCAACAACAGTGCTGTACAACTACTTATTTATTATTATTATTATTATTATTATTATTATTATTATTATTATTATTATTATTATTATTATTATTATTATTATTATTATTATTATTATTATTATTATTATTATTATTATTATTACTATTATTATTATTATTATTATTATTTTTATTATTATTATTATTATTATTATTATTATTATTATTATTATTATTATTATTATTCTTATTATTATTATTATTACTAGTATTATTATTATTATTATTATTATTATTATTACTATTATTATTATTATTATTATTTTATTATTATTATTATTATTATTATTATTATTATTATTATTATTATTATTATTATTATTATTATTATTATTATTACTAGTATTATTATTATTATTATTATTATTATTATTATTATTATTATGGTTATTAATATTATTATTATTATTATTATTATTATTATTACTATTATTATTATTATTATTATTATTATTATTATTATTATTATTATTATTATTATTATTATTATTATTATTATTATTATTAAATCTTCGAAAGGTATCGTATATCCAGTATTGATTTAGTTGCTTGTATGTCGTACGTAACGCCCATGTCCACATTAATGCCATCCAAATCAGACCATTAAAATTATTAATTATCCTTCGATATCGAAGATGCAGATGATGGGGAGCCTAATAATAAGCCATGGGTTTTCCCAAGCCTTGGATGCAACAATTATCGGTCTACGATACTGTATAGCGCTCATATAACGGCCCCCCCTATTACGGTATTTTTCTGATTTTAGCCACCTTTTTTATCGGCATTGCCTGAAATTATACACAAGGAGTTCCTTGTGAGTACTTTATCCCCTAAAAGAGAATTTTGTATACAGGTCCACGATATCGTATAGCTCCCATATAACGGTACATCCTGATATTCGGTATTTTGATGATTTTAGCCAAATTTTCAATGGAATTGTCTGAAATTCTATACAAGGAGTTATTTGTAAGTACTTTACCCTCTGAAAAAGAATTTTCTATATAGGCCCACGATATCGTATATCCACCATATAACGGCACGTCCCGATATTTCCTTGTATACTTGTTATTCCCTGGAAGAAAATTGTTTATGGTCCACGATTTAATATAACTCCCATATAACGGAACCCGCAGATATTCCGCATTTTCACGATTTTTGCGACATTATTTACTGGAATTGTTTCAAATTTCGTATTTGAAGTTCGGAACCGTGCCTATGACAAAAATTACTTACTTACTTCCTTACCCATCTTCGTATAGTCCCCATATTACGGGTTTCATTAGAGCGGTATTTTTCGACGGATTTTTTCTTGACATTTTTAGGACTCTTTCAAATGGATTTTTTACTTGTTTTTCTTCACATCTGTAACTTCCAGCAAATACTCATATTATCAAACAATGAGTTTTCTTGGAGATACCAGAGATTGTAACTTTTTTACCCATTAACCGATATTCCATTGACAACAATTCCAAATTGAATTTGAATCACACCACTTTACTAAAAAAAAAACAAGTAAGCAAAGGCTATAGTCGTGCGGGGCCGACTATGTTATACCCTACAACACTACAATGTGTTAGAAGCCACCTTATGTCTAAATCCATATTGGAAGATTTGACTAGGGACATTTGCAAATATTCATGCATTTCGTCGGGCTGTTAGTTGTTGTGGTTCATTTTACAGCTAAATATAATCCAATGGTCATCCAAAATGCTAGAATTCTTCCCTTTCCTTAACTCTCTTCACAGGCGTGTCGATTGGCTTCAGTTGTGTGATCGGAAAAACATTTCTGTTTTTGGTTAATTTGAACCCCTAAATATTTTGCAATCATCTCCAAAAGCAAGAAGCCCCTCTGTATCTCCAAATTTAGACTCATCTATATGATTTGCTTGTCTACGATAGTTTGCTATATTCTTCAGCGAAATCAGCATAAAAATAACAAGAAGTTCGCCTTTTGTGTATTTCGGATATAGCCTGTAAATATTGCTGGTATTTTTTCACACAAAATTAGTGGTTCATTCTACCCGTTGTCCTAAACTCTAACTTTATACGAGATTTCGTGTCCTATGGTTTCTATTTGTGACATTTGTAATGGCTTTAAAATCAGGACAATTTTTAATTGTTGGTCCATTTCAACCCCCTAATATATTGCGGAAATCTTGAAAACAATATTCCTAGCCCTTCTGAGCCCAACCGTACCCTTGTGAAAATTTTCGAGAGGATTGGACGATATTTGCAATAATATCCCCAACCTGAAAAAAAATATTACAAAATCTTATAAGACAAATTGAAAAAATCGCATGCGATAAAAAATGTGAAAAAATAAAAAAAATTCACAAAATACTACAAAAACCTATATTATCATCATTATTGACATATTTTTCTACGACTTTTTTAGATTTAATACTTTTATGCCAAGAGGGCATTCTGAATTGACAAAATTTGTCTTTGATATACACATTGTATATATTTCGTTATAATATCCGATATATTTACTACCGACATCTACGAAACGGTCAGAATTGACCTGTTCGTCTATTTGTGACTTCGCCGGGAAATTTGACTTTTATTTAACACAAATGTTGTGGCCTATTTCACCTACTAAATATTACCCGATGACCATCAAAATTAGAAGGCTTCTGCCCAGCCCTAAGCTCTAGCCCCATGCTAACTTTCGCTTTGATTGGTCTATAATAGCGACCTGTAGAGCAACTGCAAAATCAGTATTTTTTCAGTTTTTGATCCATTTCAACCCCTGCATATATTATGCGATCATCTCCAAAAGAAATAGGGTTCTATTCTGACCCTAGCCCCACCTCCATTCTAAATTTCGTGAAAATCGGGCCATAATTGCGACAGGTAGAGTGATTACAAATTAACATGGACAGACGGACAGACGGACGGACATACATAGCTAGATCGACTCAGCTCGGCCAGATAGGAAGATCCATATATACTTTCCTATGTAGGAAACGAATATTTCGTGGTGTTACATAATTTTTGGCCCAATCAAACTTATAATACCCCCAACACATAGTGTTGTAGGGTATAAAAATACCTTTAGTGGTAGCTTTTATCTCCTGTCTCAAACATTGCCTCTGATGACAATACCACAACACACTTTGTTTTTAAAATTCCTAAAATCGTTTAATTAAAGATGTTAGCAAATCGAGATCGAATCAGCGTAACACAGTAGTCAATTATCGATTGATGTACTTTAAAGTTCTTCAAAATGCTATAAAATAACACGCGTAACCCAGAAACTAGCAGTAAGTTTCATTTATTTACTCAAAGTGAAAGGTGGAAAAGAAAATGTTTTTAAAAACCGTGCTAATACTATTGAGTGTGGTTGCTGCATCGACGGCCCAGGTAAAATTGAAGTGCATAAAAAAATGAATGAGAAAAGTCGATAGAATAGATCGATATTTCAATAAAACTTGTAAATATTGAAAGCTAGGAAAATCAACATCAAGTGAAAATATATGGTCAAATCGGATATCTGATGTCAGCATCTTTGCTTGGAAAATGTTTCCAAGACCTTGAAATCGTCGATGTGGATTTTTAAAAAATTAAATGTATTCTTAGGCTTGAATTTTACATTTTTTAAAAATATTTTGCAAAGAAAATAACCATGGTTTTATATATACAGCGTGAGATAAAAAAACTGTAACAAATTCAAACACCATAATTTTTATTTTTTTTTTAACTTTATTCAACGAAAGCAAAAAAATTCAGAAATAGCATCAAATTTTAGAGTAAGTTTAGATTTGTTCGAATTGGTCACATTTGACATGAATTATGGCCTTCAAACGGCCAATGAAACCGTCACACGCTGTCCGAATTTAGCTCTGTGGTATTTTGGCCCATTCTCGGCGAAGCGCTTGCTTGAGGTGATCGACACTTTGGTATTTTTAGTGCCAACCTTGTTTTCCAAAATACTCCAGACACAATAGTCCAACGGATTGATATCCGGAGATTTTGATGGCCATCGTGCGTTGGAAATGAAGCGAGGTATCTCATTTTGTATCCATTCTTGGGTGGCGCGTGCTGAGTGCGATGGTGCTGAGTCCTGTTGGAATGTCCAAGGTCTGCGGCCAAAATGGTTACATGCCTAAGGCTTTAATACACCCTCCAGAATATTTTCGCGATAATATTCAGCATTTATTCTAATGCCACGGTCGATTAATACGATCAGAGAGCGACCATCGGCTGTAATTGCGTCCCACACCATCACCATGGCCGGCGCTTGAGTTCTGGTGGCCATCCGAAGGTTCACATTTTCAGCTGACCTCTTAGGCAAGTAAACACGATAATTTTGTTTCTTTACAAAATGCTGGACAACGAATGTTTTCTCATCGGAGTTCATCACTTTTGGCCAATTGAAGCAACTCTTCAGCTGTATTGAGTCTATTTACTTTCTGTTGCGGTGTAAGTTTTTTTGGAATTTCAATGGCTTTACCCCGAGCACACTTCAATATTTGCCGAATGGAATATTGCGATATGTTCAGTTCACGAGCCATTTTTCGGCCACTGCAACGCGGGTTTCGATCAAGTCGCTTCTTTACTTATCGAACCATTTCTGCTGATGTTGCTGTTTTCTTCCATCCACTTCCTTGACGTCGGACTACGCTACCAGTATCACGGTAACGAACGATGGTACGAGAGACAAAGGTTTTATTCGCATTTAAATGCTGGAGTGCTCTAACGATAGCCACTTGTGGTTTTCCAGGCAAATATAAAGAAATCACACTATCACGCTTGAATTCCATCACGAATAACTTTTTTTCTGGAAAATTCTCAACAAAATGCTTTTGTACGCTTGTAAACAATATGATGAGCTGTCACTGGAATAATTTTAACAGCTGTCGGAAAAGTGACTTAGAAATGACAGTAGTCTGAAATTGGTTGCTGTTTTTTTATCTCACCCCGTATTTGTAAAAAATATTTCTGAAAGATTTCATGGATTTAATTTATTAAGGCTTTGTTGAATTTTCGTTTATAAAAAATCAGAACTTCTTTTCATTACCTTTTTCATTTATTCATTTCGAAGAACTCTACAACTAATGTTACAACCATACGGATAGATGATTACATTGCTGCCAATAAGCGAAATTTTGAAAACACCATCAGAGATTGTAATTACAAATTGTTAGCTTTCGAAGAGCTCTACAATGGGCGTCTGGATACAATCGATATTCAAAAGGATTTGTTGGTCGACACATTAAGGTCGAACAATGAACGTTTGAGTACTTTGGCATTTTTAAGCGATTCTAGCAAAAGTTGCGTTAACAAATATCAAAACTCTCTGCCAACAGAATACAATGTTACAGTGACAATTCAAAATTGCACTTCGTCGGCTAAAAATGCCTACAGAACTTTGGTAACGGATGCCCGCGAGACTCGCAGCAATTTGGAATATTACTACGACGTTACGCTAAATGAAGAATTGAAAAAATGTGGCAATAGTTCGAATGTGACGGCGCAGACAAATTACACGCTCTGTGTTACCACGGTGGTGAGTAGAGAAAATAACTAAATTCTCATTAATTTTTGTAAATGTTAATAATTTATTTTTTTAATAAGATCGACACTGCGAATGTGTATGCCTTTGAAAATCACAAAATATTTAATAGCCAAATGGAAGAGGCGGCCTGCTCAGCCAATACTCAGATCAAAAAGGCACTGGATTGCAGTTTCAACAGTCAAGGCAATGTCTTCCAAGCAATTTCTGCAACAAATCTCCAAGTGAACATGTGTATTCAGGGAACTAACAGCGCCGCCACTTGCCCTGGATACTATTGCCAGAATGTTGAACGTGTGCCTGCCAGTGCTGTCAATCCGAAGAATCAAACAATGCCAAATCCTTTCTATGGTCGTAATGGAACTACCAGTTGTTTGATGTTGGATATCGTTTAAGCAGGACAATGAGTTTTTTTCGACAATAACATACAAATGAGTTGAGGAAGTGTACTAGAGAGGCGAGAACATATAGTAATTTTATGATATTTTTCAAGATAATAAATAATCAATAAAAGAAATGGTAGACTTTCTTGGAATATGTGAGAAGTTCTTAATTTGTAATAACTGCAAACGTTGATTACACAGAACACTCAGTAGATTATCAAAGAAATAAAGGGCAACTAAATTCGGCTGGGTTTAATTATTTAATACCCTCCATAATTTTGGAGGAACTTAAAAAAAAATCTAAAAAAAAAAATTCATCGAAAAATACCGCTCAAAGAAGAAGATGTGGACCTGCATACGAAATTGCTTGTTCGGCCGGATCTAACACAGTCGTACCCATCAGAAACTTTAAATTCGTAATTTGAAACAATTCCGGTGAAAAGGGTCGGTAAAATCATTCAAATAGCGAACATAGTGGACCTGTGTATACAAATCTCTTTCAGGGTGTTAAGTATTTAGAAGGAACTCGTTGTGGAGATTTTCAGAAAATTACATTGAACAATTTGGTTACAATCATCAAAGTGCCGAAAATCGGGAGGTACCGGTGTATGGGGGATATACGATATCGTAGACCTATATGGACAATTCACTTTCAAGGGTAAAGTACTCACAAAGAACCTCTTGTGTAGAATTTTGGACAATTCCATTGAAAAATATGTGTTTTGTCATCGGATAATATTTAGTGGGTGGTTAAATAAATGTCAAATTTTCCATTAAACCGCGAATATTTTGAATCCCGCGAAATCACAAGTAGACGAACAGGGCAATTCTGGCCGTTACGTAGATGCCGATAGTAAATAGATCGGATATATATAGCGAAATATATACAATGTGTATAGACAAAGGAAGGGGATGTTAGCCAGAATGCTTATATCTCAAGAATGGCTGGTCCGATTTCAACAAATTTTGTCAATTCAGAATGCGCTCTTGGCATAAAAACATTAAAAACAAAAAAGTCGCATAAAAAGATGCCAATAATGATGTTAATAAAGATTTTGTAACATTTTTTTATTTTTTCATATTTTTTATCGCATGCGATTTTTCCAATTTGACTTATAGCATTGAAGTATACATTTTATAATATTTTTTCACCTTACAACACAGGTTGGGGTTATTATATACAGATTGCAATCATCGTCCGATCCTCAGAAGGGCTAGGCCTATTGTTTTCAAATATGTCCGCAATATATTTAGGGGTTGAAACGGACCAACAACTAAAAATGTTCCTGATTTTGCAGCCGTTATAAAGGTCACAAATAGAAACTAAAGGACACGAAATCTAGCATGAAGTTAGAGTTTAGGACAGCGAGTAGAATGGAACACTTCTTTTGTGTGAAAAAATACCAACATTTCCATTCTATCGATACGCTGAAAATAACTTACAGGCAATATCTAAAATACACGAAAGGCGAACTTATCGCTTTTTATGCTGATTTCGTTGACGAATATAGCCAAATATCGTGGACAAGCAAATCATATAGATGAGTCTAAACTTAGAGATGCAGAGAGGTCTCTTGCTTTTGGACATGATCGCAAAATACTTAGGGGTTCAAATAACCCAAAAGCAGAACAAATTTCCTGATCACACAATTGAAACCAATCGACACGGAATTTTTCATGAGAAGAGAGTTAAGGACGGGGAAGAAGTCTCGCATTTTGGATGACCATTGGATTATATTTAGCTGTAAAATTGACTACAACAAAGCCAAAGGTAATATCTGGGCAGTCCTCTATGACATAATTTCAAAAGCGAAATCTTCCAAAATGTTTCGGACATAAGAAAGCTTCTAACATATTGTAGTGTTGTAAGGGTATAACATGGTCGGCCCCACACGACTATAGCCTTTGCTTACTTGTTATACCCTACACCATACTATGGAGGGTATATTAATTTTGCCATTCCGTTTGTAACTCCTCGAAATACTCATGTCAGACCCAACAAAGTATATATATTCTTGATCAGCGTAAAATTCTACGACGATTTAGCCATGTCCGTCTGTCTGTGTGTCTGTCTGTCCGTCTGTCTGTCTGTTGTAATCACGCTATCTTTCGAACAAATCGAGATAGAAGGCTAAAATTTTGCACATATGTATATTTTTCCAGCAGGCAGGTTAAGTTCGGGCCATGTAGGTCCAAGTTATCATATAGTCCCCATATAACGGTACCTCCCGATATTTGGTATTTTGATGATTTTTGCGACATTATTCACCGGAATTGTTTCCAATTTGGCATTTGAAGTTCGTAATGGATACTACAGCCTAAAACAGAAAATTATCTGTACAGGTCCACGTCTTTGTATAGCCCCCATATAACGGTACCCCCCGATATTCGGTATTTTTATGATTTTAACGACATTATTTACCGGAATCGTTTCAAATTTGGTATTTGAAGTTCGTAATGGATACTACATCCTAAGTCAAAAAATGAGCCATGTAGGTCCACGTCTTCATATAGCCCCCATATAGCGGTACCCCCCCGATATTCGGTATTTTTATGATTTTAACGACATTATTTAACGGAATCGTTCCAAATTTGATATTTGATGTTCGCAATAGATACTGCAGCATAAAACAGAAAATAGGCCATGTAGGTCCACGTCTGCATATAGCCCTCATATACCGTACCCCCCGATATTCGGTATTTTGATGATTTTAGCGACATTACTTACCGGGATTGTTTCAAATTTCGCATGTGAAGTTCGTAATGGATACTTCAGCCCATCCCAGAAAATTGTCTGTGCAGGTCCACGCCTTCGTATAGCCCCCATATAACGGTACCCCCTATATTCAGTATTTTGATGATTTGACCGACATTACAGATTTTTCTTCAAGTTTCGCAATTAAATATTGTAATAACTCATGACAAAAGTTGCCTATGCAGGTCTACGTCGTCGTATAGGTATTCGGTATTTTTAAGATTTTAGCAGAATTTTAAACGGATTTTATTTTTTTGGAAACTGCCAAATTTGTACCAAATGGTGGAGGGTATTAAAAGTTCGGCCCGGCCGAACTTACAGCTTTTTTACTTGTTTTATAAATAGATTTTACAATTGTCAATAGTATGTATTTATAAAAATGACTTAGAAAAATATTTATCACTTCTTATTTTAACAGATACCCAATTTAATATTTTTGTTTTTAAAGTTAAAGATGATAAAAATATGGCTCTTGTAAATATTCCACCTAAGATTCATTGTTGTTGTAATGTCCTTGTATGGTAACAACTTATAATTCTGAGTATGTTCTGTTCCATAACTAATATTCCTAATATGATGGAATCTAAACATATTTTCACTTTTTTAGAAAAACTGGTTTCTGTTAACATTCTTCGACTTTGATGAATTTGTAAAAGTGATTTCGAATATAGGTTAATAGTTTCAGACGAATGAATATTTTATAAGATTTACAAAAGGGTGTTGGACTTTTACAGAACGATGTTAATCCATATTTGGACAAGTTGAGAAATGACCGATACTATCTCCAAATATTAGAGTTGTTTGCAGAATTCAGTTCGCTTTATAGGCTTTCTTTAGAATTATTTAAATTAGTAGGCTGTAAAATAAACAAATTTGTATACATTATCATATTTATAAACTATTGCAAAGATCTTATAAAACTATGCTATTTTGTAAATCTTTTGCCAGTATATTTTGTAGTTTTGTCGAAAGAGCTTAGAAATCGCGGGAAACGTTGAAAAAAACTATGGAAGTTTACAAATATTTTACACTGTTCCTACTTTGCAGTCTATCAGTGTTGCAGGTGTGTGTGTGTTATATTTTAATTAAAAATGTGAATTTTTTACAAAATAATTGTGACAATTTAATAGGTCAAAGCTGACGATCAAGATGAACGTACAACAAATTTCATAGAAGCCAATAGCCATCGTTATGTCAACTATGTTCAAGATTGCGATTACAAATTGGATAGCTTGAAAAAAGTATACGTAGCAAGCATCTCCACAATTGACATTCAAATGGAATTCTTATTGAAATCCGTTGAACAAGCCGCTGTACGTTTGTCTAATTTGGAACTTTTAAGTGTGGTCAACAAGGAATGTTCTGAAAAATATAAAAATGCTTATCCTGAAATTTCCACCATCAAGACCATGATTAAAAATTGTACCGATAATGCCCAAAAACAATTTCCCCCCTTGTTAGTGCCACTCCAAGAGACTCGCGACAAATTTGCATTGTACTACAATCAAACTTTTCAGGGTGAAATTAGCAACTGTGATAATATGCAGACTTCTAAATTGAAAAATTTTAATCACACGAATTGTATTAAAAATGTGGTAAGTCCAGCTGCCGTTTAGAAAGCATACATTTTTATTATCTTCCCTTTTGTTGCAGGTGTCAGATGCCACCTCATTTGTCATTGCCAACCAAAAAACGTTTGACTATCAATTGAATTCTGCCAAATGTTCGGCTGATACCTATATCAAAATGGCCCTGGATTGCAGTTATGTGGCCCAGACCACTGTCGTATCGCTGATAACGGCCACAAATGTTTTCATCGACAGATGTACCAAGAATATAGACTGTATGCCATGTGAGGGTTTCCAATGTGAAAATGTCTATAATCTGCCCACCAATGCCATTGATTATGCCAGTCAGACTATGGTGAATCCTTTTTATGGTAATAACCAAACGTTAAGTTGTTTAATGATTAATATTGTATAAGTTATATTTAAATAAAAAAATTAAATAATAAAATTTACAATTACTTGCGATATGCATATATTTATACCCTACAACACTATGTGTTGGGGGTATTATAAGTTTGATTGGGCCAAAAATTATGTAACACCTCGAAATATTGGTTTCCCACATAGGAAAGTATATATGTATCTTCCTATCTCGCCGAGCTGAGTCGATCTAGCTATGTATGTCCGTCCGTCCGTCTGTCCATGTTAATTTGTAATCACTCTACAGGTCGCAATTATGGCCAGATCTTCACGAAATTTAGAATGTAGGTGGGTTTAAGGTCAGAATAGAACCCTATTTCTTTTGGAGATGATCGTATAATATTTAGGGCTTGAAATGGACCAAATACCGAAAAATTTCCTGATTTTGCAGTTGCTCTACATGTCACAATTACAGACCAATCGAAGCGAAAGTTAGCATGAGGCTAGAGCTTTGGGCTGGGCAGAAGCTTTCCAATTTTGATGGTCATCGGATAATATTTAGTGGTTGAAATAGACCATAGCATTTGTGATAAATAAAAGTCAAATTTTCCATTAAACCGCGAATATTTTTAATGCCGGCTAATCACAAATAGACGAATAGGTCAATTCTGACCGTTACATTGATGCCGATAGTAAAAATATCGGATGTATATAGCGAAACATATACAATGTATATATACAAAGAAAGGGAATGTTAGGTAGAATGCTTATATCTCCAAAATGGCTGGAGCGATTTTGAAATATTTTGTCAATTTAGAAAGCCCTTTTGGTATAAAAATATAAAATCTAAAAAAATCACATAAAAAGATGCCAATAATGATGTCCATATAGATCTTGTAGAATTTTGTGACATTTTTTTATTTTTTCATATCAATTTGACTTATTATATTGAAGTGTATATTTTGTAATATTTTATCACTTTACAACACAGGTTGGGGTTATTATATACAGATTGCAGATTATCGTTCGATCCTCACGAAATTTTTACAAAGGTAGGGTTAGGCTCAGAAGGGCTAAGCCTATTGTTTTCTAAGATGTCCGCAATATATTTAGGGGTTGAAATGGACCAGCATTTGGACATAAGGGGGCTTCTAGCATATTGTAGTGTTGTAGGGTATCACATGGTCGGCACCGCACGACTGTAGCCTTTGCTTACTTGCTTTTTTATACCCTCCACCATTCTATGGAGAGTATATTAACTTTGTCATTCCGTTTGTAACACCTGGAAATACTCATAATAGCCCTAAAAAGTATATACGTTCTGGATCAGCGGCGAGTCTAAGTCGATTTAGAGATTTCCGTCTGTATATCTGTTGAAATCTTTCGATCGAATTGGAATAGAAGGCTAAATATTTGCACACCTGTGTATTTTGCGTGTGGGTAAGCTATGTTCATAAATGGGCCATGTTGATCCACGTTTTCACATAGCCCCATATAATGATACGGTCCGCCCGTTTGCCTATCCATTTATTTTTGTAAGCAAAGTACAGGTCGCATTTATTGCCCGATCCAGATGAAGGGCAAAATTGCCTCTCTAACATATGCCTCCAAACATATTTTGCAGCAAACATATATAAGTAAGTAAGTGTGCCTAAGTTCGGCATGTCCCAGTAGTCGGCAGTTTTGAAATTTAAACTTAAATAACTAAGAATAGAATTGACCAAATTATGAAATAATTGCAAAAAAAAAAAAAAAAACGTCAACAGAGTTCTCTGCTCTCTTTCTGTAAAAAAATGAGCTCCGATCATTTATTACGAGAGAATAACGGTTTTCGTCAGTGAGTGTCTTCCAACGCATGCGATAGTGCTTGTTTGTAAAGAAAAAATTAATGGTGGCGTCAACTTAATAATCGATTTAAGGAAAATAAATTTAATACTTTTGGAATCATAAATATTCAATAATAGTAAATAACAGTCTGAAGATCACTTTTATAACTTAAAAACATACAAATCAAGCATTTTTCTGTTATATTATTTAAGCCGACATTAGGAACAGAAAAAAGGAATTTGAAAGGTACTTTTTTCTTTTTTTTAATCTCATTTTTATTTTAATTGAAAATCCATACGTTACCATACTATTCTTGATTTTCTACCTAAATTTGGTTTAGGATGTTAATTAAATAAATCACTATTTAAAAACGAAATTAATTTCAAATTCTGGATTTAACTGTGAATTAGTAATATATCATTGTTTTATACTATTTGAAATAAAAAAATATACAAAATAATATTTTTGTTACTGAAATAACATATACCGACTACTGGCAAATAGACATGCCGAGCATTGGAAAATGGTGCCGACTACTGGCAAAAAACTACTATTTTAGTAAAATTGTAAATTTTGCAAATTTAATAAAAAAATTCAATTTTTGTTTATTATTTCGAAAACTAAACAAAATTTGGAATCTGAACAACTTTATTTTTCTGCAATTGAAAGATTTCACTCAGAATGTTGAAAGATTGAAAAAAAGTGCCGACTACTGGTACACTTACCCTATGTTTGCTAGAGTCTCAAACATACAATTTGTTTGAGTACTACAAGTAAATATATGCTTAGATGCGTGGATACAAGTATATATATGTTTGGATGAAAGCATATATATACTTCAATGCAAACACATATATGATTGATCCAATCAAGTAAATATATGCTTGGAAATAAGTATATATATATATGGAACAGTGTTGGGTTGTTTGTTCGGGATACCACAGTGTTTTGTTGTTGCAAAATGGGCAGGCTTAATCCCTTTATTGTTGTTTTTATAAAAACAACGTTTGTTTATTAGTGGAGAACGATGGTAATGTTTACCATGGGGTAAGGCAGGGAATACCTAGATTTCGGAAAGAGCCACCAATCTTCATCAGTTCCCTCGTTTTTTGTTTGGGATATTCTCTCCAGAAGTTCTGTTAAAAATAACTTCTATGACAAAAAAAAACAAGTAAGCAAAGGCTACAGTCGAGCGGGGCCGACCGTTGAATACCCTACAACACTATAATAAACCATACAGTTGATATAGGCGAGATACTCGAAAGAATTCCACAAGATTTTGTGACAAATAATAAAGGAAAACCATCAGGTTTCGTTCTCTAATTTTCGAATAATAGCAACTTAAACTAATTTGCTCATTTCCAATTTATTGGTAGATGTTGCACGTAAATGGTCTTCCTAGATCTGGAACCAATATTTCCCAAAAAATGAGAAACAGACATTTGACTATATTCTTCAACGAAATCAGCGTTAACGAAATAGTCAGAAGTGCGTCTTTCCTGTATTTGTGAATTCTCCAAAAAGTCACTGGAATCGACATTTTCGTATTTTGTCTACAAAATTTGGCAAACTATTTCACACATTGAATATTTTTGGATGGCCATCCAAAACTGCTTGGCTTTTGTAATGCCCGATAACCCCCATTCAAATGTGCGTGAGGATCGGGCGACAATTTTGCAGTTTTTTGGTCCATTTCAACCCCTAAATATATGGCGATCATCTCCAAAAAGAGTAGGCTTCTATTCTGACCCTCATCTTATCTCCATGCAAAATTTCGTAAGGATCGGGCCTTAAATGCGATCTGTATATGATATCCTGATATCCTAACTACTTAGTTTTGTTAGCTGTAGAAATATTACCAAATGTTTAATTCAAAATGAAAATATGCCAAAAATATGACAAAATTGAAAAAATATGAGAAAATTTTACAAAATCAATATTTTCATCTTTAGAGAGATATTTTTATGCGATTTTTTTAGACGCTTTTTCTTTCCTGCCAAGAGGCCATTCTAAACTAATGAGAACTTTCGAAATCAGTTCAGCCGTTCTCGACATATAAGAGATTTTTCAAGCATATCTTCTTTGATAAACATATATATCACACATATTTTGCTATATATCCGTTTTGTTGGATGTTAACATCAGTGTGAAGATCAGAAGTAACCTTGTCATGGCTTTGTGATTTCGCCGGGATTTAAAATATTCGCGGTTTAATGAAAAATTTTGAATTTTTTCAACACAAAAGATATGGTCTATTTTACCCGCTAAATATTATCCGATGACCACCCAAATTGGTAGGCTTCTTCCCCGCCCTAAACTCTAGCTACATGCGAAATTCCGCGTCGATTGGTCTATAATTGCGACCTGTATAGCTACTGCAAAATCTGACATTTTTTCAGTATTTGGTCCATTTCAACCCCTAAACATTTGGCGATCATCTCCAAAAGAAATAGGGTTCTATTCTGACCCCAGTCCCACCTCCATTCTAAATTTCGTGAAGATCGGGCCATAATTGCGACCTGTAGAGTGATTACAAATTAACATGGACAGACGGACAGACGGACAGACGGACGGACGGACATACATAGCTAGATCGACTCAGCTCGGCGAGCTAGGAAGATCCATATATACTTTCCTATGTGGGAAACCAATGTTTCGAGGTGTTACATAATTTTTGGGCCAATCAAACTTATAATACCCCCAACACATAGTGTTGTAGGGTATAAAAAAAACTTTTTTTTACCCAAGTGAAAAAAGAATTAAATAAAACTAAAATTATTTTAGAAAATCTTCTAAATCTTACAACCGCACTTGTAGACATTTTCATCATTCTCCACGCAACAGCATCAACAAATAACAAAACACAAATGTTTAGCCGCGTAGCAAAAACAATGGTACTTCCCGATATTCGGTATTTTGATGATTTTAGCGATATTATTTACCGGAATTATTTCGAATTTCGTATTTGAAGTTCGTAATGGGTACTACAGCCTATGACAAAAATGCAGGTCCAAGTCTTCGTATTGAAATTTTCAAAACTTTTTAAGTTCCTTCGAGTCAGTTGTACTTTTCACGAAATTATTGAAAAAAATAAATTTTGCTGCATATTATCATGATTTCTATTATTATTGTTATTATTGTTATTATTATTATTATTATTATTATTATTATTATTATTATTATTATTATTATTATTATTATTATTATTATTATTATTATTATTTTTATTATTATTATTATTATTATTATTATTATTATTATTATTATTATTATTATTATTATTATTATTATTATTATTATTATTATTATTATTATTATTATTATTATTATTATTATTATTATTATTATTATTATTATTATTATTATTATTATTATTATTATTGTAATTATTGTCACTATTAATATAAATCTTAGTATGATTGTTATCATTATTATTACTTCGAGGAAAATTGGTATACGACTAGGGGTTGTTACAACTTCCGCTTTCCATTATTGCAGAAAAAAAGAAAACCGAGATTATTTTTATCACAAATATAGTTTTTTTATTATCTTAGTTTCGCGTAATACAAATTCCTCTCTAATTTAATTCAATTTCACATTAAAATTTCTTGTTATAAAATTAATTTGTAAACATGGCGTTGTACTGTTAATACCCTTAAAGGGATTTACAATTCTCTCACCCGTCAAATCATCATCGGCCAAATGCCATGCCATTTGGTAGGGACACCTTCCCTTGATGGCATTCAAATCTTCATTCTCACATGGCGGACAGAATTCATGACCAGCAACGCAATTTTCTATCAGGCCCGTAACTTCACCGATTGAAGTAAAGGTCTGATAGACACTTGTCGAATAGCAGTCAAAGGCCTCATCAATTTTTGTATTAGCACTGCACTCAGCGGAAGTCATTTGATTGATGAAGGTATTGGTGTTGGTGGTAAAGTAGTTACTGGTGGTTTTGATCTGAAATTCGAAGTAAGTTTTTGAAGTAAATGAATGAAAATTTAATATTGGATTGGATGGATATTATTAAATTAATTGAAAACAAATCTTAAAATTTAGGATTTTTTTTTTTTCAATAAAAATATTGTTTACATTACACCTACCCCCGTAGCAGCACAATTTTGATATTTCGATTCATTTTTCTCAAACTTCCGTTTGCATTCCTTCATGGCATTGGTGAATTGATTGTTGTAGTGATTTTTAATATTTTTCAATGTGTTCTCGGCGCTGGTCAGCAGCGGCGTAAAAGATGTCTTCGCCTTGTTAATGCAAGTCTTCAGTGTCTCCTTAATTGTACCTTCTGCGGGTATTTTACCACGGTACTTCTCCACGCAATAATCATTGACATCACCCAACATTTCCATGGGATCCAATTTGTTTTGCAAATCTCCCAATTTTACATCCACCACCACATTGTAATATTCCACCACATCCAGACGCATGTTGAAATTACTACGCATATCTTCTAGCTGATCTTCCAAATGTTTGATGTGATCCTCGAATTGACGTTGATGTTGCAGGACGTAATTTTCCACTTTGGCGCCAGGATTCGATTTGGTATACATAGCCTCCGGCATAACAACAATATTACTCTGCAGTAAAGAACATCCTTTTAAAGGAAACAAAATGCGGATATATTCTACTTACCTGCACTCCCAATGTGTGGCATGCCAGGACAATCGCCAGTGTTACAATATTCACAAATACAAATTTCATTTTGTTTTTATTTTCCTTCAATACTAATTTCTTCTTGAAATATACTTATTGAAATAATGCAAAACTGCGGCATTACAATCTGTTTTATATGCATCGATTTCAAGATCAAGTTCAGTTGCATGGAACAGAGCTGCGCTCATAATTGAGATAAGCGTTCAGTTCCACTCCTTGATTGCAAATTTTACGCATTATTCCGAAACTGATAAGCCATGCTGTTGGATTTGTTTTCCTCTGCTTGCATATAATGTCGAATGCAATTGAGGGTGCTTCCGAGTTATATATTTTGAAATTAATCAATCTTTGGAACAGCGCAGTTAAATCCGACTGGGATTTGGGTTATGCAAAATAGAGTGTTTTTTGAAATATATATAGATGAAGTATAGAACAAAATCCAATCTTTCCCATAAGTACAGAAAATGTTAAGAATATTATGAAATTAATACAAAAAATAGTAGACACATTTTTTGACGTTTTGAAAGTTTGTTGGTAAAGTAACCTAAATAGTTTGGAAAAGTTCCCCACCTCTTCTTTCACATTTTTTTAAATATTTCGGAATAAAATTCTTTGGAATCTTCACAGTTTAGGTATATTGTGTCTATATTGTGTCGGCTAAAAGGGTAACATTCGGCACTTTTTCAAAAAATAAATAAATAAATAAAATAAAAATTAAATTATTTGTCATTAAAACCTATTCTAGGTCTCAGAAGACATTAACATTTCAAATCTTACTTAAACGAATTTATAAGTATTGAATGCACATTTTAGGTTTAAAACCATATTTTATGTAAATTTAGGGAAAAAATTTCCTACATAACATTCTTCATCCATTTTTACTACATGTCATTAAATCAAGGAAATCTCTTTTTCATTATTTCATTAAAAAATAAATAAAAAAATAAGTAAAAAATTAGATTTTTTCAAGAATTTTTCTTCGTTTTTTTTTCGAACATTCACAGAAAGACGCACATATTTTGAGTCATTTGAGTCAGCTTTGAAAATTGTAGACATAAAGATTTAATTTTGTCGAGAATAATGTGTTTAGAAAATGGGCCATATCGGTCCACTTGACATCGTACTCATATACAGGGTGAGATAAAAAACTTCAACAAAGTCAAACGCCATAATTTTTATACTTTTTTTTTTTAATTTTATGGAATGAAAGCAACAAATGTCGGAAATAGCATAAAATTTAAGAATAAGTTTAGATTTGTTCAAATTGGTGACTTTTAGCACGAATTATGGCCTTCAAACGGCCAATGAAACCGTCACACGCTGCCCGAATGTTGCTTTGCGGTATTTAGGCCCATTCCCGCCGAAGCGGGAGGTCATCCACACTTTGGTATTTTTAGTGCCAACCTTGCTTTCCAAAATACTCCAGACACAATAGTCCAACGAATTGGTATCCGGAGATTTTGCTGGCTATTGTGCGCTGGAAATGAAGCTAGGAACCTCATTTTATAACCATTCTTGGGTGGCACGTGCTGAGTGCGATGGTGCTGAGTCCTGTTATAATGTCCAAGATCTGGGGCCGAAATGTTTGCGTGCCCAAGGCTTTAATACACCCTCCAGAATATTTTTGCGATAATATTCGGCATTTATTCTGATGCCTCGGTCGATTAATACACACACACATCGCCAGGGCCGGCGCTTGAGTTGTGGTGACCAACCGGAGGTGCACATTTTCAGCTGACCTCTTTGGCAAGTAAACACGATCGTTTAATTACAAACTGCTGGACAAAGAATGTTTTCTCATAGGAGAAAACCAAATTCGGCTGTTCACCATTTTCGACCAAGCGAAGCAACTCTTTAGCTCTTTTGAGTCTATTTTCTTTCTGTTGTGGTGTAAGTTCTTGCACTTTTTGGAATTTGAATGGCTTTACCCCTAGCTTATTTTTCAGTATTTGCCGAATGGAATATTGTGATATATTCAGTTCACGAGCCATTTTTCTGCCATGCCGACGCGGGTTTCGATCAAGTCGCTTCTTTACTTATCGAACTATTTCTGCTGATGTTGCTGTTTTCTTCCGTCCACTTCCTTGACGTCGGACTACGCTACCAGTATCACGGTAACGAGCGATGGTACGAGAGACAAAGGTTTTATTCGCATTTAAATGCTGGAGTGCTCTGACGATATCCACTTGTGGTTTTCCAGCCAAATATAGAGAAATCACACTATCAAGCTTGAATTCTATCGCGAATAACTTTTTTTTCTAGATAATTCTCACCAAAATGCTTTTGTACGCTTGTAAACAATATAATGAACTGTGACTGGAATAATTTTAACAGTTGTCGGACGAGTGGCTTAGAAATGACAACATTCGGAAGTTGGTTGCAGTTTTTTCATCTCACCCTGTAAGTCAAGATCCGCTGGACTGATTTTCACAATTCTGATCGATTCGAAATGGTCTCTTGCCAGAAAAGGATTAAATATGCTAATAAAGAGTGAATGTTTCTTGTTACATTTTTTTTTTCAATTTTTGCCATATTTTTATCGCACGCTTAAGAACAGTGAGTGATATGTCAAAAAATTTTAAATGTTTTTTGAAAAATAAGTAGATTTGCATTTGTTTTCCTATTCGACACCAATCAGAGGTTGTTATGATGTGAATTTTTTTAACAAATTTGAGTAATTTTTCATTCAAACATTTCAATTCCAAAATTGGTTTGACAGTTCATTCCCCCAGCAGCTGTACCGATGCGACTATCTGTATTCTTCTGCCATGGTATTATATACAGGTCGCAATTATTTCCGATCTTCACGAAATTTTGCATGGGGGCAAGGTTTGGTCAGAGTTAAAGCCTGTTGTTTTTGATGATGCACATTCAGGGATGCAAATGGACCGAAAAAAATAAAATTTTCCTGATTTTGAAAACAAATCGTCACGGAATTTGCATTAGAAGAGAGTTAAGGACAAGGAAGAAGTCTAGCATTTTAGATGCCTTTGGATTATATTTGTCTGTAAAAGGATCAAAACTTTCTTGTGACTTTGTTTTGAATACCTAACAGAAAGAGGGAGTGCGTAAATATTAATGGACAAATGACCCCGGTCGAAAAGCTAACGGTAATATCGGGGCGGGGCTCTTTGACATCATTTCAAATGTGAAATCTTCCAAATTCGATTATGATATAAGTGGGCTTTCAACATATTGTAGTGTTGTAGGGTATCACATGGTCGGCCCCGCACTTCTATAGCCTTTGCTTATTTGTTTTATAATCGAAATGCCCAGACATAATATAAACTCTGTTTGATGGATAGAGACATTTCTTATTCACCAATGATAAACAAAACAAGTAAAAATACTGTAAATTCGGCCGTGCGGAAATAAAATCGGTTAAAAATTCTGTTAAAGTCTTAAAAATACCAAATGTAGCCGTTATATTAGGGTCTATACGACGACGTGGACCTGCATAGACAACTTTTATCATTAGCCTATTACAATATTCAATTGCGAAACTTGCAAAAAATAGGTGAATAATGTGGCGAAAATCATTAAAATACAGAATATAGGGAAGTACCAATATATGGGGTCTTTACCAATACGTTGGCCTGTAGCCAGAAATTTTTCTGTCATAGGCTGTATAATCTACTTCAAATACCAAATTTGAAACAATTCCGGTGAATAATGTAGTTAAAATCGTCAAAATACCGAATATGAGGAGGTACCGTTTTATGAGGGCTATACGACAAGACAATTTTCTGTCATAGGCTGTAATGTATGCTAAGAACTTCAAATACTAAATTTGAAACTTTTCCAGTAAATAATGTCTCTAATTCACCAAAATACGGGAAAAAGGGAGGTACCATTATATGAGGGCTATACCAAAACGAGGACCTAGATGACGCATTTTCAGTACCGAAAGTCCTGCAGACATTACATGGATTTGAGTAAAATTTTTTCAACCTACTTAATTTCGTTCGGAAGCTAGAGCGATTTCCACAGACGGATAGATGGACATACGAATGGACATCGCTGAAAAAAATTTTATGCTGATCAAGAATATATATACTTTATGGAGTATAAATGTATATTTCGAGGTGTTACAAACGGAATGAAGATCTTAATATACCCTCTTTACTATCGTTCCATTGCTATTTATATATCAAGAAAAACCACGTTTTATATCAAAACCGTTTTTAAAGTAAAACTGAATACATGCAACACCTGATTTATATTTCTTGGTGTCACCCTGTATTTCCTATATAAAACAATTCTTTACAATCTAGCAACATCATCCTAAAAGTAGACTTTAAAATTGGATTCCAATTTATTTACAAAATTTAACCCATTTGCTCACTCTCACGTTTTTAAGAAATCTGCTGATAACAAACAAAACTTTGTATCTCCATTGTTGACAGCGATCGGTATAAGGGCCTTTGTTTTCCAGCAACAAAGTGCTTGGCAGCCTCAAATGTTGATACTTCGCCAAGGCATGATTTAGGTGTGCCCGTCAGTTAAGTTTTCCTTTGTTTGAATTCAAACAATTTTAACAGCTCTCTATTACAAAATTTCTATTGATTTCAAACAATTTAAGTTAAGACGACTATCAGTTTTCTGCCATAGCTTCTGGCGATTATTTTGGCCATTGTTTATTCCGTTGTGAGTTTTGCTGTTATTGTTGTTGTTAAGGAACGCCAATCGTCAAGTTTGATTTTTCTAATGAGAAGTGGCGCCCAATACAATTTGCAAAATGATTTCAAACGTGTGTCATTACGGATGGAGATGCAAAACAATGTTGCCTTAGCAAATGTGTGGTCCTTCCCAAATATTTGTTGGTTGAAAAGGCGAATGTGTGGCCATCTAACAAGCTAAGCGAAAGCATGAAAGAAGAGAAAGGATGGGCCATTGTTAAATTCCTCTGGCCCAAGGGGTTGATCGGACGTTACCAAGTAATTTTAATAGAATACTTGGAATTCTTGAATTTAAAAAAAAAAAAATTGGGATGGGTTAAGAACTCATTGCTATAATTCAATGGGAAAAAGAAAATCATAATGGAATATGTACATATAAAACTAAAAAAAAAAAACAATTAAATAAAATACAAATACCAGGAAGATTATATCATAATTCCGCAAGATTATATC